CTTGTATATCAAATGCAAATTCATTTTAAAAAGCTACTGGTATCTTCCTGTTGCTGTTGTAAGGTAGTGTCGTATAGAGTATGGCTCATAGCGACCCTATGAACAACAGATCTGACAGAATTCTGTCCTATATCCTGTGCATCCGCACCATCTCTGATACACTTGAGCCCATTGCCACAGTCACTATATCAAACCATCATGACGGGAATCTTCCTCTCTTTCACTGACCCTCCACCTTCCAAGAGTAATATCCTTTCCAAGGAATAGCTTCTCCTAGCAATATGTTTAAATATGAGGGATGAACCTTTACCATCCTTGCTCTAACACACACTTATTCATTCTTTTGGCCATCCATAGGATGTTCAGTACTCTTCTCCAACACCACAGCTCAAGGTCATCAAATATGGAGTTTTAAGGCTTGTTTGCATACTTAGCTCTTTATGGCTTTAAGAATTTTATTTCCATAGTTTACCTGTTTCCTTTAGCTTATACATTTTTATCTTGCATTTACAAGGGCAGTGATGTCCCTTGTAACTTTCCGCATCCTCACTATTTCTAGGACTTTCCTGTCCACATTGATAGTCTTAGCCCATTTCTTTAAAGCTCTGTATATTATTCCTTGAAAGAGTAGATCTCAATTTATCCATTTGCTCTCTGGAAATTCAGAGTGTTTATTTTTCTAGGATTGTGGTAAAATATCTATAAAAGAGTTTGACTCTTTGGAATTATAAAAATATCTGTAAGCATGGTTCACAGAGATGGTACAGGACCAGAAATGTTTCATTCTTTGTACACGAGGCCGCCATCAATCTGAGCCAATTAACAATTATGATTGTTGCTTACTTCTTATTTATTGGAGCTTAGCTCATCTGCAAACCTTAACATACCCTTTATGCAAACTGGTTTTCCCCCAAGCTCCTGTAATACTTGGAAATTTCTTAGCACATTCATCCCACTTTGCATTTTATTTCATAATGTGTGTTCGTGAATTCATGTGTATCGTCTCCCACAAGATAAATATACGTCTTTAGCTATTACAGAGAAGTTGGAATAATTAGGCATGGGAAACCACCTTGGCTTAGGGATTAGTTACAAAACAATTTGAAGTCATTTAAGAGGGCTATCCTTGCTTCATTCACCAATGTGCAATAGCTTTGCTATAACAGAAACTCAGTAGGTGCCTCTGAGATGAAAATTACTTTTCTTTATTCAAAGGAGTAAGTATAGGACCGTTCACAGGGCCTTAGTTACTGCGGCAAAAGATTGAAACATATACTTATCCATATTTAACTAGGCGAATATACTTTGGCTCATCCCTACAATAGAATGTGCTGAGTGTTTAAAGATTTAACACACTCAATGTCTAATCAAAAGTATTGAGGTTTGAGTCCACTCAGAGTTGCCTCATAAGAAAGGCCTGGTGATTTTCTTCTGAAAAAACCAGTCTGTGAAGATCCAATGCAGCACAGTTTTACTCTGATACAACTGGAGTTGCCTTGAGTTGAAATCGACTTGATGGCAACTGGATGTAGAACTACAATAGTATTATAGGGAAAACTGATGCAGGTTTGCAGGTGCAGATACAATATAATCTCCAAGGTGTTGTTGCTATTGTTAGGTGCCATTGAATCATATATGACTCATAGTGACCCTATGAACAACAGATCTGACCCCTGTCCTATCATCATCATCCTCGCTGATGCACTTGAGTCCATTGCTGCAGTCACTGTGTAAATCCATCTGGCAGAGGATCTTCCACTGACCCTACACCTTTCCAAGCATGATGTTTCTCTCCAAAGAATAGCCTCTCCAGACAACATACCTGAAGTATGTGAGATGAAACTTTATCATTTTTGCCTCCAAAGAGCATTCTAGCTGCCTCGTATCCAGGACACATCTGTTTGTTCTTTTGGCAGCCCGTGGGATAATCTGTATTCTTCTGCAACATCACAGTTCAAAGGCATCAATTCTTCTTCTGTCATCCTAGTTCATTCTCCAGCTCCCAGCAGCAGAACAAATGATTTTTTAAAACCTATGGCCTGCTCTTTGCCACATTAACTGTGAGAATGGAGACTATTCTCAGCAACCAGACTGTCAGCATTCCAGAGAATGTTGACATTATTCTGAAGGGCTGCACAGTTAACGTGAAAGACCCGTAGGGAACCTTGCAGAGGGACTTCAGTCACACCAATGTAGAACTCGGTCTTCTCGGAAAGAAAAAGAAGAGACTTCGTGTTGACAAATGGTGGGGAACAGAAAGGAACTGGCTGTGGTTCGCATCATCTGTGGCCATGTACAGAACGTGATCCAGGGTGTTACACTGGGCTGTCATTACAAGATAAGGTCTTTGTGTGCTCATTTCCCCATCAATGTCATTATCCAGAAGAGCAGGTCTCTGGTTGAAATAGAAAATTTCTTAGGTGAAAAATACATTCAGAGGGTTTGAACGAGACCAGGTTTTGCTTGTTCAGTATTGCAAGCCCAGAAAGTTAACTCTTGAAGGGAATGACATTGAGCTTGTAGCAAATTCGGCTGCTTTGATTCAGCAAGGTACAGGTTAAAAACAAGGATATCCAAAAAGTTTTGGAGGGTATGTACGTCTCTGAAAAAGGAACTATTTAGCAAGCTGATGAATAATAGATAGGAGTTTTCGAGCTACAGAAATGAGGCTGTAAAAATCCCAAGACACATCCGATTCTTGCAATAATATTCTATTTATCTGTGAGGGGGAAAAAGGACTATGACATCAATCAAGCACACCTTAGTCTCCAAACTAATATCATTGCTCCTCAGTACTTTGGAAAGGTCTTTGATAATGTACTTGCCCAATGCAATATATCTCCTGATCGCCTGACTACTGGTACCTAGGGGTTGATTGTGGATCCAAATAAGATGTAGTCGACAACGTCATCTTTTCTCCATTTATTGTGGTGATGCCTATCAGTCCAATGGTGAGAATTTTTGCTTTCTTGATGTTGAGATGTAATTCATATTGAAGGCTGTAATCTTTGGTCTTCTGCAGCAAACACTCAAGTCCTGGTCACTTCCAGTAAGCAACGTTGTACCATCTGCTTAATGCAGGTTGTTGATGAGTCTTCCTCCAATCCTGACATCGTATTTGTCTTCATAGATCCCAATTTCTCAAATAATCTGCTCAGCATACAGATTTAATAAGTCTGGAGAAAGGATACTACCCTGACACACATTTAGGGAGTGAAAAAGTGAGAGGCAAAATGATGCTAATATAGTTGCTATGGGTCAGAGTCAATTCAATGACACATAACAACACAACAGCAATACATAATTTTAATGGGATTTTGTGTGTGTGTGTATATATTTCTGGAAGAACACGAACAGTAACAGTGGTTGTTGTTGGAGGGGAAATGAAAGACTGAAATTGAGGCAATGGCAGCAGTAAATCAGTTCTTTGGGGGGGGGAAGCTCTAGTTTTCAGCATTTGATCATTCCTGTACTATAAATACTTCCATTATGGACAAGAGGAAAGTTAATGAATCATGGTACCTTTTAATTAAACCTTTAAAAATAATAAAAAAATATCCACCAGGTACAGCACACAAAATATAGCAATTGTTTATTTGGAGATATCTTGAGCAATTATTTTCCACTAAGGCAGTAACAGTCTTCTACCCGGAAGCACATGGGTAAAATTTATCTGAGGCAACATTTGGTTGAAGGCAAAGCTGACCACTTTGCATTCGGATACAGTAGAAATATAGGTCATGGACTCTGCTAAGCCACATACTGGCTCTGGAGCCCACGGTCAAGGCACAGACCCAGGGCGTTGCGTCTCAGTTACTTAGGGAAATGACTAAGTTTCATTACCTTCCAACCCTACAGAAGACATCACGTGACAAGCCCTCGCACCATGAGAGAGAAAGAAAGAGACTGGGATTGGTGGATTGCTTTGCAAAACTGTTGCTTCTTGGCCTTCTGTTGGTTTGATGGAAATTACTGAATCTATCGGCGTGGCTAAATACATGCAGTTGTAGCTTTGGTTTGGAATTGTGTAAATGTCCAGCAAAAAAGGCTCTTTGTAAAGCAATTCGACCAGGTCGCATCCAGATGTATTTATTCTTCCCTGCACATCTGTCTAGACGTGTGTGAGTGCGTGCGTGTTTGTGTATGTTTCCATTGGCACAAGCAGCCCCCTGGGGTTGGGGGGGGGGAGGGTGGAGAGTGAAGGTAAAAGGTTTCTTTTACAGTCCAAACAGAGTTAATATGCCCTGGCAATAATCAGACACGCTAAGATCTTGAAGAAAATGAAAGCAGAGCGTGACTGCCCCAAATGTCACCAGACATTTACTGAGCTAAACCACAAAAACTAGATGTAACAAGGTTATCAACTCATTGCTGTTGAGTCAGAACCGACTCACAGCTAAACCCTCTTGCGGGTTTTTAAGGCTAAAAATCACACAGGAGGAGGAGACTGCCCATCTTTCTCCCACGGAACAACTGATTGACTTAAGCCGCCAGAGAGGTGCAGCAAAACCCTCTATGAGCTCTGGGTTAAATAAAGGGCGTGGAGAAGCAGCACGGTAAGGACAGGATTTCGTTATAGCTCTATGCTGCCCTCTCGTGGTTATCTGTTCCATTACATCGTCCTTCAAAACAACCTTTGACCAAGAATTAAGAGTCGGCCAGCCCAGGTGTTCAAAATGTTAGATCTGGTCATAGCCAAAATCCTACAGTTATAAACAACGAACTTCTTCCTGGGCGTAAACACAAAGACTGAAGAAATTGGGGATCCCAGTTTTGAGGAAAGGTTTTAGTGGTGAGGCTTACTTTTGCAGGACAGTCTGACTAGTTTGTCAGATGCTCTAAGGGGACAAGAGACCAGGGTGGTCAGCAGAGGTGGGCCACCAGGGAGTGTCTTCTGGGAGTCTGGAGAGCAAAGTCACTGAGGGGACAGAGTATAGAAGGGGTAAGGGAAGAGCCTTGTAACACGTCCACGGGCATTCTGGGAGAGTCCTGGGATATGGGGCCAGACAGGGGATGCTGGACCCAACCCACCCACTGGGCTTTATGCCCTCTTCATTCCTTTCCCCATGAGGCAAGCAAACACTGTCATGACCATCTTAGGGTTCACTTCAACCAGGTCTTCTGGAAGGGCATACACTCGTGCCCCAATTTTTCGGGCCATGGAGATGGCATATCTGGAAGGGAGAAAAGAGGAAATGGTGAAGGCAGTTGAAAAACCAAGTGGAAAAGGGACTCTGGGGATCACGGCTATAGCTAGTCAACTTTTAGAACAGGACTCATTCCAAGTATACCTGGAATGGCCCCCCCACTTGCTAAGAAGCAATGTAGCTTGACCCCATCAGATATGTGGTCTAACTTCATATTCATTACAATTATTTGTCCATGGAGGGTCTCAGACCCTACTTCATGTGATGCTCCAAACTACGGATATTCTCTTGGGCTGTTAAGTATGTGGAGCCCTTGGATAGTCCAATGGCTTAGTGACTAACCTAAGGACAGGCGGTGGCCCAGGCCACAAGCGTGCCAATAACTTTCTGAAAAAACAGTCATTAGAAACCCATGGAGCATAGTGGCAAGAAGCTGTACTGCAATCCCAGAGGCGCACGGTTCAAATCCACCAGATGCTCTGCCGAGAAAAGAGGGACAATCTCCTCCTGTACCAGTCAGATCTGATTTGACGGTACACACACATGAAAATAATAAAATTTTTAAAAAATTTAAAAAATTAAAAAAAAAGAGAGAAACCCATGGAGCAATCTTACTTTTGCTGTGAGTCAAACAATCCAATATATAATTTGCTTAAATGGTGAAAAGGACAAGAATGCATGTGATGAAACGTTTGCAGAATATTTAACTCCAGAAATTTTTTTTACAAAAAAGAGGAAACATTGATCTATACCTCAATCTTATGCATGAAATATTCTTCTCCCATTGTAATTTTTGCTCACATATGCATGGATTTATGTTATGATGATATAAGAACTGCCATTCCTATATATCTCTTTATATAAAATTATCATCACTGCATTAGAACTTTTTGCTCAAGTTATAGTTTTATAACTCAAGCTCATTACTGTGGAGTTAGAACCGACGTGCAGCTGACCCTCCAGTGGGTATATGAGGCTGCAAATTACACGGGAGGAAATTGCTCCTTTTTTTTTAACAATAATGAATGAGAGAATGGGTAATCAGTGTGAGAAGATGTCTTGTGTTTGTTTATCACCTGAATGTCTTCTTTGATGAAGTGTCTGTTCATGTCCTTTGCCCATTTTAAAAATATTTAATGTCTTTTATTGTAGAAGTTTTCTATAAGTTTTAAAGATTAGATACTTGTTGGGAATGTCAATCAATAAACTGTCTCAGTCTCAGTTTTTGTTTTATGAGGTTGGTTTATTTCTCTGGTTGTTTTTTGCAAAGGTTTTTTTTTCCCCCCAAAGTTTTGTGAAGGTATTTTGATTAAACTCGTTCAGTATTTTTTTTTAAATGAAAGTGTTTTATTTAAAATAACCTCCATACTGTTGAACTGATCCTAACATTCTGACTCAAAATTACTTCCATCAGCTTCCTCAGGCTATTAATGTTTATAAGCTGAGAGTGCTAAATTATCTTCCACTGAGAAATTGGTGAAATCAAACTGTTGAACTTTGCTTGGTAGCCCAATATATAAAGTACTACTCTACTAGGGCTCTTTGTCTAAGGTTTAGAGAGGAGCTTGTCCCATCTTTTAAGGAGATGACTGCCCCATCATTTTCTCCTGGAGTGGTGGGTAAATTCAGTCTGCCAGAGAGGTGTGTCCTTTGAGACAGCATCACAAGCCCCTACAGACTGTCACCCTGAGCTCCCTAATTTTTAGGAGCTCCTAATCATTTAGATTATCTTCTGCTTTTTGTGTATTTTAAGGTATATTTATTATTCTATTTATGTTATACACTAGGACTCCATAATTGTCCTAGCATTGTTCCTAATTTTTTCTTCCACAGTTTTTATGGTTCTAGGTTTTAGGTTTATGTGTTTGATTCATTTTGAGTTATTATTTTTTTTATGTGGTGGACAAGGTATGGACCTTGTTTAAGTTTTCTGAAAATGGATATCCATTTTTTGCCAGTACCAGTTATTAAAGAGCCTTACTTTTTCTCCATTTAATGAATTTTGACTCTTTGTAGAAATCAGCTCTCCAGAGGTGGATGTAGTGGATGTATTTACCTCTGAGTCCTCAATTACACTCCATCAGTGTCTGCCATTATAATGGTACCAGCCTGTTCTAACTACCACGACTGTGAATTAGGTTCTGAGATTGGAGAAAAGGAGGTCTCCTACCTTGTTCCTCTTCATCAATTGGGTTTTGTTTATCTTGGCCCTCTTTACTGTATAAAGTAGGTGATTAGTTTTTTACTAGTTTTCAGAGTAAAAATGCTGTCTCATTCTGAGGGATAATCCAAATGATCCAGAACTTTCCACAAGGGGAATTTCTCATCATATGACAAAATGTCAAGTGTTGTTCAAATCTTCTTCACTGTCAGAGGAAATTTCTATGGTGCCCTTATTTATTTGTATATGTATATTAAAATCTATGAGTTTATATGTAATGTCTCCAATTTATAAATAAAACTGAGGTTTATAAAGATACTGATAATAATGAAAGTTCTGAGGGGCGAAAAAAAAAGGTATTTAACTAACTTACAATGGAGTCACTGGAATAGGACTCCATCAAAAGGTGGTAACTATCATTTCAATGAACATCTACAGAGATTTTGGGATTCCATTCATTCATTGTTGCACCCTTCTCCCCGCACAAACCCCTCCCCCCTCTCCCCCATTTGCTCCTCTCCTTGAAAAGCAAAAGAAAAACTCCCTCATTGGTACACAATCCCCCCCCCCGCACCTCCCCAAACCCCACCCCCTA